TTTGGGTTAGCAGAGTTCGATTCCCCGAGGGAGGGGGTGTCTGGAGAGCGCTGCTTGTACAAATAGTCCTCGCTTCTGTAAAAATTTTGAAACAATCAAAAATAACGTGTTTTTAAATAAAAGAAATGCGTTATTTTTTCTATGTTGATTTTATGGACAAAAGTCAGTCATTGAGTTTTAGCTTTTAATGCAGTTCGTGTTATTTGGCAATTTGTGACTTTCCATAGAGTAAAAAAATCCCATGAAGGTCTCAATTTTTAAATGTGCAAGTTGACTCCATTCATTTTTTTTTAAAAACCATCTCCAAAAATTGGATAGTAGAAACAAGAATAAATGTTACAGACAAAAATTTTCCGTTGTAAAAATTAGTTCAAAAAGTTTGTTCAAAATTGGTTCAAAAAGTTCTATCACAAATTGGTTGTTTAATGTGATTAAAATAAATTTGTGGTTTGAATAATATTTCAAGGAAAAGATGATTCGTTTATTTTCACCTTAATGAAATTAAGTTGTCCGAGGGATTTTTCTATATTGGGGTTTGGATGATCACCAGACGGCTTCATGGAGACGTGCATATTATTACAATTTGATTTTAAAATTGTTTTAAGACTGTCGGGATGAAAAAACTTGATAATTGTAACGTTGTACAATTGGCGCCATAACTATGCACTCTGTCAAATAATTTAATTGAGTCGCGTGTGATAAGAACACGCAAAACATCTAAATTAGAACCAACTGATGCTTTTAAAAAACAAACTATAAGGAAAGTTTCTGAAAATTTAGTACGCGCTTTTCCCACTTTTTTTTCAGCAAGGGTTGGATTGAAAGTCTCTCAAGCAAATAAGATGCACATTACAAACCAAAACTTTCGCGCAGACACAAAAAGAGAAACTTAAAATCAGTCAAAATGAATAGAAAACTTTGCGTTTGCAATTGAATTAATTTTACCAAGTTGATGTAGAATCTGGTCTTCTAAAAAACCAGTGAAGTTTTAGAAAAAAAATCCTTCCAAATTATTTTAAACTTTCAGCTAAAAAAGGGACTTTATTTGAAACCTCATGAAATTTTTTCATCCTTTGTTTGAGCACACTCCTCTAAATTTGCTATGAACAACCAGCAAAACACTTCGTAGACTTTAAGTCTATTAAACAAAAAGTTTTGATGAATTTTATTACAAAATTGGAATTTTTTACTGAAATAATTTACATAAAGAAAAAAACAATTTTGATAAATTTTATTACAAAATTAGAATTTTTTATTGAAATAAATTACATTAAGTTTTTTTTACCGCATATTCATAAAAAGGGCCAGAAAAACCTCCTTTTTGATGGAAATTTATAGAAGCCTGCCGACAGCAGAATTATTTGCTTGGCTATATATCGCAAATGGTTGCATGGCGCATTCAGAAAAATTTTAGGGTTTATCAACCAAAAATGGATGTCCTAAACTAGTATTGTTCTATCAAACCATATCTTTCTAAAGGTTCACTCTTTTCACTGTCTTACGACATGTTTTTTATTTTGAAAAACTGTTTATTTTAGATTGTTGATAAAGTTATCGAGATTTTTGTTTTCATTTAAAACGAAACCATCAATTAACGCTCTTATATTCAAATAAACCACGATGTAAAAAATATTACTGAAAAAATTGACTTGATGAGACAAAGAAAATTAAATAAGGGAGAAAACTCAATCATCTATTTTGGACAAGCAGTCAGAACAAACAATTTTATTGAGAATGGTCTCAGAACATAATCAAAACTCAAATTCAAAATTAAAAGTATTTTTTTTTCAATTCAAATA